TCTCTCTCTCTCTCTCTCTCTCTCTCTCTCTCTCTCCCCCTCTCTCTCTCTTTCAACTTAATTCCCGAGTTATAATAAAATAGCGATTTAACGGCAAAAGCAATTCTACATCATTTGCTGTACTTTATAAAAGAGTAGATTATAAACAATCACTGAATTTATATATTTATTTTTTGTTTGTTTTACTCTATTGAGTACTCTATTCACTCGTATTCACACCATTTATTACAGTATATATAATAATATAATTTTCTCGTATAAAATATCAAACGCAGACTTATTTCGGAGGTTTTTATTTTGCTTTCCGTTTACCCAAACTTTATTAATGAGAAAACCTTTTTATGGCTTACATTCAGTCTATAGTTTTTTGTTTGTTTTCTTTTTGATCTTATATTTCGTGCATAAGTTTTGGTTTTATATTTTGTTGTTTAAAATATACGACAATGTTTTATGTAAATTTTTCAAACACACACATTAAGTGGTGAGATGATCATCATATTTTTGTTATATGAATAATATATAAATGCATTTTTATTTGTGTTTGGATCACACAATTATGGGGAAAATTTGATTAGTTTTTTGGGTTTAAGCAAAATAAATATATTTTAATTTTCGATATGCATTTTTGTAAATCTCACATTTTATTAATTGTGTAAAAGTTTGCATTTTCCTAGAATTTTAATATATTAAATACTATTTAAAATCTATATTCTAATTACATCGTCGAGTATAAGGCATAGTATAGTACCGTATAGTTAATATGTGTTAACATTAAATTACTAATTGATTAGTTTTTTCGCAAAAATAATAGTAAACTCTTTCTTCCATTAATACTGCACTCGACGTGAGGCCTAACATAACATTGAAGTCAGTGTTGAGACTCTTGTATTCAATTCAGACATTCAAACACAATGTGAAGAAAATAATTATAATTAATACTAAGTATTTAGAAATTTAATGCAGAAATCGAGTTGTCTTTTAATGCAATACACTATTGGTTAAAGTTTCTGTAAGAAAGACCGGGAAAGCAATTGTAATACACTATTGAGAATCTCATCATTTGTCTGCAAATATGAGTTTTTTAATAGTAATTCTTATATTACTTTGAAATGCAATCTATTTCTAAAGAATGCGAACGAATGGTAAAGAAATGTATACAACAAACGGTACAATAGATTGTGTACTGTATTTGTATACACATTAAAGTGCTATTCAGTCAACAGAAGTACACTTTATATATAGAGTTTATTTTATTTGATAACTTCCAATTCAGTCCCACATAAACCAGAAAATTCATTACAATCCACACAAAGGTCTTGTTTGAAGTACTCATTCAATCCAAAAGGATATAAAACATAAAGTTTTGTGTTTTAATTATTATTTAACCGATTCATCGACATTAGAGATAAGAGTGAAAGTGGAGAGAGAGAAAGAAAGAGAGAGAGAGAGAGAGAGAGAGAGTCGTGAATTCAAATGTACACTAAATTAGTGATGGATTACAGGAAATTAAATGGGATACTAATTTTAGCTCCAAAAATGCAGAATTGTATTGATTTTAAATATTTAGGATATAATTAGAAAATAGAGCCGACAATAAATTAGTTGAATATAAATGCAAAATAATTTTCCAAATATTCAGTTGAATTGTTTTCATATGTAATTTTACAAATTGTACTCTTGTTATTAATATATTATGTGTTTTATATAAATATGCAAAACATGCGAATCGAAAAATATTTTATTTTAAAAAAAAGTCATCGCAAGAATGTAAAAAACTTTATCATAATTCTATTAAATACATTGATTTGCATTTATATTAAATCTTAATAAGTTATGTTTAGTGAATAAACTGAATGAAAAACTATTTTTTATCTAATTTGCAAACCAATGACTTTATGTATTTTTATATCAATCTTATGAATCGTGAGAATCACTATTCAAATTGACTGAATTGTTAATAATATTCTGTATACATAAAAATTGTGCCCTTTTTTCGTTAACAAAATTTTATTTATAAATTCTTAAACAAAATAAATTTCATATTTTATTGTCTGAAATGAATTTCCTGACAGTCATTGCGAGAGAGGGGACGGGAGGGAAAGGGTTGGGTATAAATGGGGTTATTTCATACATTTCATACCTTAGAGGAGACATAGAGAGGCACAGTTGTGGCGTTATGTTGAGCCCCCGAACAAGCGGTTGTGGGTTTTGGGTTAGTGGTCGAGTTGGGTGCCATAGTTGTGCGCACAGGCGGTACGTGTATAACCTCGTCGGCCATCAATATGTTGACCAACGCGTACTCCATAAGCGATGCGAACACAAAGACAGTACACGAAGACATGAATATATCGATGGCTTTGATGTATGAAACCGGTGGCAATGATTTCTGTGATTGAGCATGCTGAGTTGATAGGGTTAACAACGAGGTCACACATAGGGTCACCCGCGCCGGCACTGCTTCTGGCTGTTCAGTACAATTGCATAGTTTATTACGTTTATTAATTAACGGTATTATTTAATTAATGTGTATTTTAGTTGTGTTTACGGCAATAAAACTAATGGTTTTTGTGTTTTATGAATATAATGTTGTAATAAATTAAAAATTCAAACCTTAATCCAGAATGAAATCCATGACATAATGACGATAAGGCAGGTCGGGATATATGTGTGAAATATGTAATACCCTATCAATCAAATGAAATTTATTGTGAATTCATTTTATAATTGATTTTTGTTGTTTTGCTGTGCATTACATGAAATAAAAATAATTGTTTATCGTTTCAAACAATTGTAAAATAAATCATTAATAAAATAAATTCTGATGTTTTGCTTGCATAATATATAATACAATAAAATATTATTATAGGAATTATGGTTATTCTGTATTGATTTTGAGAGTTGGTGTAATTCATAAGCCTTTTTGAGTGTTAATTAAAAATAATTATTTTGTGAATGCATTGTTTTAATACAATTACATCCAAAACAGACAAATCTCTAATTTATTATTTCACAAAATTATGTTTTGGTTACAATTATTTGCTACCATATTATGTATTGCTGTTATTTAATGTATTGTAAATAAAATATGCGCTAATGTTTGACTTTTTGATCAAGACATGCAGCTTAGAGAGAGAGAGAGAGAGAGAGAGAGAGAGAGAG